ACTGAATCACCACCTGCGTCCTGATAACTTGTGGCAAAACTCTTCTACAAAAGATTACAGTGTTTTACAGTCACAGTCTATACTACTTGGTACCCAGATGCTCCCTACTACCTGCAGTTCAGGAGCTGAAGTCCTGAACAAGGAGATCACAGTTTTCAGACCAGAAGAGTGCAGAGACAGTCACAGCAGCACTGCTGGAATGTGATTCACAGGAAGTCATGATACAGTGGTCAAAAATAAGATTGTCTCAGTCAAAACTAATTTTCTGGCAAAATTCAGTAACCTATATGTTAAAAGATACCATTAACAAACACTTTGTACTAGCCCTCTGGAGTTTATAGAATATTTTATCAAAAAATATATTCTGAAATAATAACTGTTAATTAAAACAGATTTTTTTCTGCTAAAATATTCATAAGGCAAGCTTCTCCATTTACAAAGCTCTCAAACAGTTTTGTATTATATTCTTAATAAGGCTAGTGCTTAATTTTAACCAGTTTATTACTATAATGACATTATCTACACATAGGCGAGGAAAAATACAGTATTTTACCTCGATATGGATTTAAAAAAAGGTCATGTAGTATTAGGTCATGTAAGATTCAGCACTGCTAGACACAAAATAAAGAAATAAATACATCACCTGTTTCCAAACTGCCTGGAAACACCATATATTAGAATCATATTCAAGTATAAGCACACAGAAATTTCATCATCGACATATGAGAAAGAAAATCTTAAGACTACCTTAAAAATCTTGCTACAATTTTGAATATATGTTTTATATTTGGGTTCACATATTTAAAACAAAATGTAAAATATATTGACATAAATTGACAAACTTTTAAAAATGTAAAAAGCTGTTACTCATGGCAGCAAATATAAACATATGCTTAGCATAATATAAATTGCTAATGAAAGAGTTAAAATGTCATGTCTACTCTTGGATGCAAATGTGCAGCAGACATTCAAGAATGAACACTGAAAAGCACCTCAGAACAGATATTTTTCCTTCTAGAAAGAGTTATAAATGCACCAAGCAGGAAATAATTAGAAAAATTCATAAATTCAACTCAAGAGAAATTTGGATTCACAGTCATTGGAGCAGAAAATATAATCTAACTAATCCTACTAATTTTGTTGTATTTTCCCCTGCATTATTTTTCCAGTAAAACTTATTTCTAGATATATAAAAACATGTAATGAGCTTACCTGGGAGGAGCAGAACTCTTTAGTACCTTCCTGTGGAAAACAACGAGCATTAAAAATGAAGAGAACAATGAAAACAAAGGCAAAGATACACTTCTTGGACTTCTTTACAGTAAGTGGACACCACAGGTAATGATGCACACCACGCATGGTATAATACCATGTTATAGACAAACATTAACTTTCTAACACACAAAAAAAACCCCATAATATTTTTTTAATATCTCATTCTTACAAAACACGGATTTCAGCGAAGAAAACAGTAAATAACCTTCCTCAAACACCACATCCAGCAAGAAATACCATCAACAGGAGGAAATGAGCAACAACCTCAAATTTGGAAAAGTATGATTGCGTAAATATAACAGAACATGCATGACTCATGAGGAAATATATTAAAATATGAAAGCTACTGACAATGAAACACAGAAGAAATGCAACCTTTCATTTATCAGTTTTAAAACAATTTAACAATATTCATTACAGTTGCATACTTCTAAAAACCTGTGAGGACAGCACAAGTAACTGAAACACAAGTACCTGCTACCAAAATAAGATACTTCTTTTTTTTTTAGGAAAAAAAACCCACAATAGTTTCTAAAAAATTACAGTAAAACCCTCAAGATGTTACCTTGTAGAAGCTGGATCTAGAACATTTATCTACCCACTACAAAAGCAAACAAAAAGGGAAGTTTTCTTGTAGTTTGCCTAAAGCAAAGAAGTTGACTAGAACTATAAAATTATCTGAATGCTGTGAGAAAAAAATATTATTGGGCACTTGTGGATAGCACAGAAATATAATGTTTAAATAAAAGTATCTTGCTTTATTAGATTTTTCACCACTGAACTGCTGATTTATTTTACTTCGAAGATAGTTCTATATTTATTGTTACATGACAATGTATCATGTATCCCAGAGATTTTCAAAGAAAACTACCAAATACCCAATATTCAATAAATACTAGTACTTCCATTATGCATGTCTTAAAAAAAATAAATCACATGATTCAAGTTATTGCAAATAAATATCTAGCTATACCTTTATAAATATTTAAATAAAATTCTGCTAAGTACAGGTTAGCCCCCTAAATATAGAACTAAACTAACAAATCCACTGTCTAAAAGTCAGAAAAATAGTTTAGAAAGACAGGTTTATTTTGGGGAAGCTGGACTCCTACAGATTGCTTTTAGGACAAACTCAAAGCACACTATCCCCTACTTGCTGACGCTCTGTGCTAGCTATGCTTCTTTGGTTAGTTAATAAGTTACAGACTTAAAACTGGGGTTTTGTTTGTTTTTTTACGTTTCAAAATTCAGATATGAAAGTATCCCAATAAGAAAACATGCATATGCTCTCAGGTTGCAAAGGTTAAAGAGATCAGTAAACCCTCCTCAAATCCTTTCTGTTCTTAAGAAGCAACGACTGTCTTCCCTCTGTCTAGAGCAACACATTGCAGCCTGGAGGGCCTTGGCCCTAGGGTTCCTTTATAGGCTAAGGAAAGACAGCTCAAAGTGCAAATTCCCACTTCCTCTACAGCAACTAGTGTGAAGAGATCTATCCCGCTAATGGAAAACTTAATGGAAGAATCAAGTGAATACATGGAGGAGTCACTACAGATAGGAATTACTGCTCCTTACTAGAGTCAATATATTGTTTCCAAAGCTGATTGACTTCCTATTCAAAAGTAAAGAGTACATATTCCTGTTCTTTTATTTACACTGATGCTTCTTAACAAATATTGACAACTGCACCTGCAGTAATAAAACTGGGTTATATGTAGCAAAACTCACTCCAGCAATGTGATTTGGCCTATTTGGTCCCTTCCTGTGCAAATGATTTTAAAGTGTTCTCAACCTCCTTTCTATGTTTTTTTGAGAAACTCCTCAAGGAAGTAACCAATTATACCACTTAAACATTTCCACTACTGTGATTAATTAAATTAAAACTATTGTGGTGTAGGCCAAACTCCAATTCAGCTCTTACTACCAACACTTCTCAGACAATTTCAGTCACGGTGCACTTCCCATTCTACAGGAGGCAAGGCTGTGAGCCACTGTCCTATGGGCACATCTCACCTCATGTTGCATTTCAGCACTGAAAGGACTACATGGAATGCTTCTAAGATTTTGCCACATGGAATGTTACAGATAAAAGGGTTGACATTAATGTAGAATGACAATTTAGGGTACTATGAGATAGTTTTGACACTGGCAATGATGGCATGCTGGGACAGATTCAGAGTTAACTAAACTCAGCAAGCCCCTGGCATAACTCTAGAATTTCTTTTATGTCTCACTCTGATATGATAAGCAAATAAAAAGCTGATAATTCAAGAACACTATTTTTAGTTGGCTGATGTAAGTGGAATTTTTCCTTTCCCATTTACACTACTTCATTAAAAAAAATCTCAGAGCACTCTTACAGAGTCTCCTTGCCAATCCACCACTACAATGAGGAAGCGGATGAGGTACTCTGGTAAACATTTCAAAACACCTCGTTCTTCACTATGTGTTCATTAGCATAAGACAGAAGTGAGAAAGTGCATGAGAAGGGAAAAAAAGAAATACTTTTTTACCACTTGCCATTCTACAGGTAAGGGACTATTGATATGTCTTTGTATACATATATACCTTTCCAAGTGTAACGTGGCTAGGAAGTCATTCTATATTAATATTGATGGTGAACACATCTCCTGGAAACAAGTGTTTTTTTAAGACAGCCTGTTGTTTTATTAACTCTGGCTTTTGTGTGTGTGTTTCTGGCTATATGCAAATACTTCACTAAGTGAAGTGTTCGTAACAGTCTAATTGATCTAAGTTCAAATTGCATCTAGGTTTGTTTGTGAAGTTGTTTTTTGGTTTAAAACAGAAGAAAAGCATGCTTTTACATTTACCTATTGCACAACTAATTGCTTGTTCATTAAGATTCCTGTTAAAGTAATTCCACGACTAGACTGAATAGCTGCAAGAAAACATTTAAGTCTGTTGGGTCAAGGACTCCCAGGATAAAACATTAAAAATAATAACAATTTTAAAAAAACCTCTAATTGAGCCATTACATAGAAATGCATTGAAAGAGCCTTGGAGAGCTCATGCATAAACACCACTTGTTTAAAAAAACACCTATGTAATAAAGTACAGTATACAGATGATATATCATAATAGCTCTAGATGCAGCTGTTACAGGAAAAAAATAATCTAAAATGTTTATTATGGGCTTTTTTTTTTTTTTAAGTTGTGGTTAAAAAAAAAAATCCCCAGAGGATATTTAATGCATAAAAAAAAATTCAAGGTTTTAGCAAAAAGTTGTCTTATAATCAATAAAATGAATGAACTTGACATCTGATCAAGCACTCCATCATAACCTTACTCTGAGTTCCAGGTTAGTGCAGTAACCTCGGGCCTGTGTTCACAGAGTTATGGCATCTCATGGAACTTTACAGGCTGTCCTGATGAAGACTGGAGCATCAACAGAGATTTCCAGCTTTCACTCTGAATTTCTCCCTTTGTGTACTTAGATGAGAATGTTAACATTCTTACTATAGTTTTATATAAGCAACATAATTATAATATTATAACTTAATAACAGAATTTCAGTATTAAATCAGTCTTCTAAAAATACAAAAATATTTGATGTCAAAGTGTCTTTCAGTTATACTTCAATCTTCACAGTTTTAATGCAGAATACTTAATTAGAACCATCACTTTAGAACTATGCTGTATATTCAGCTGATTTCATGTAAATAGACAAACAGTTAAAAACATATTTACTAAGATTAAATATAGTCAAATTGCAAAAACATACAATCTGACAGCGTTGTCATGTGCTCTTCTGAAGAGTGCATAGGATATATTTCTGCAGCAGTCAGTACAGTAAATTCATTTGATGCAATCCCAGTCAAAGCTGTAAACATTCCTAATTGCAGTTTCATGGAAACTTTTTGTTCCTTTCAAGTTTTTTATTAGCAGGTTGCACTGGGCATTCCCCTGTCTTTTTTCTTTTCCTATCAGTTACAGACAGTATCATCATCCACCTTTAACCCCTCTGGCTGTTCAGAACTACTCATAAGCACTTTTTTCAATAGATTCAGGGTAGGAATCCTTTCCTTGCAGTGCACAATGACACTTTCCACATGTCATTGTTAGCAAGGCGCCCAGTGCATGGTCTTGAGAAGCAGGTTGATGAGGAAGTCTGCTATGCCTTAATGGGATTTCCTGCAGGTTTGGGATCATAACCGTATAGGAAAGTAGCTGCTATTACAAGGATGGCTCCGAAGAAAAAGACACTGAGTAGAATAGGGATGGAAAAAAAAAGTTAGCTCATTTTAGTTGATGCAATTATATTTATGTAATACAATCAAATGAAAAAACATTTGTCCTGTGGGAACACAGAAACATACATTATATTTGTCCAATATCTAAAGAACAAAATAATTTGCATATATTTATTACAGAATAATGCACAGAGAAGTTGAAATAAGGGACTTACATCCATAAAGTAATGTATCATTATTTGGACATATTCTGGAAATTAAAAATATAGTTTCATGAAATAGCTGTCAAAAATAATCAGATCAATTCTTTTTTTTTTTTTTTTTCTCCTTTGCCTAAAGCTCTGTGCAACATGCAAGCAGAAGCCAAAGTAGTACAACTACCATGGCTACCCAAGCATGCAAATATTACTTTTAGGTAAACAGATGTTTCTTTGTGTCAGATGCAAAAGTTCTATAATTCAAAACATTTTTACACAATGAGTATAACATATGTGAGGAGTATAAGTCAATTATAAGCAAAATCCTATTAATACATCTGAAAGTGGGCATATTACTTCTACACTCAATATATTAACAAGCACTGCCAAGACAAGCTCTATTCCAGAACCTACACATGTACAAAACCTGCAGTCAACTAAAAAATTTGAGGTACTAAAATTTGATTCACAAAGCATCAGGACACAGTGTATTTGGCCTAGAAGCTTATAGCAAGCATTTTTCTCCCTTTCTTGGTTGAGTGTTTTCACTAATAACTATGGTATTGTCTTTAGAAAAAAGCTCTGCCCTCGGGCTTTTTTGTGTCCTTGGGCAACTCGTTTGTGTGGTGAAACTTATATGGGTGTATGACTGTAATTATCTCATTCAAGAGACTGTTTTGAGACTGGATGAAAAACAGTACCAAAATATTATTATAATTCTCATGGTTCAGCCATATGTTCCCTTGCAATGAGATGACTTGTGGAAGATCTGTCCACTTAGAGGACACAGAGAAAACAAACAACCCCTTTGCCAGAACAGCCAGCAGGGGGAGGCTCAATCACAGAGCAGAGCCAGGCGGAGCACAAGGCGAGCATCCAGACTGGAGAGGACTGGATTCGACAGGAAAGCAAAGTAGGCGCTGAACAAACTGAGGAAAATAGGGTAGGGAGGAGAAGAAGAGAAAGGGACAGTGAACTAAAAGACAGAGTCTGCAAGAGAGTGCTTTGTCAAAAGCCAAGATTTGAGATTTGTGATTTCTGAGCTGAGAAGGTCTGTATCTTGGGGAAAATTAAACCTTGCCAGCTACACTGAAAAAAACATGTTATGAAGTGAAACTGTTATGTGTAAGTTGTATCTAAACATTCTAAAAGTGTGGCTTGGAGTGTTTTTTATTAATTTATTTAATTTTGCAGTTATATAGTTAAAAACTTAATGTTTACTAGATTACTTTTCTTCTGCATACATGGAAAATAATTCTTACCTTGTGGGGACAAAATCTTGCAGCCAGAAGTAGGAGATCAACGTTGACAGTATAATAGAGAGAGAAGTTGCAAATCCCTTTAAAATGTTGTCTGCATATTTTATAACAGCAGCAATCACCAGCCCTCCAAGTGCCTGAAAAACATTGAGGTTCGGATTTACAACCTGGTAATTCCACTGAGAGCAATATTTTAACAACATCTGCTTACTTTAGGAAAAGCTCTGTCTACCTTTAGGACCATTAAATTTATTTTATGTATATGCCTTGCTGAGGATTAATATAGGAGTTCTTCTTTACCCATTAAAAAACTGTTGACCATAGGACCATGATTTAATTAGTGGGAATGCCTCTGTAACACTACAATTTTAGCCATAAGAGGAAGGGTGTATATATATATATCTGTAGATTTTTTTAACATTGCCAAAGAAATATGCTTATGTGCTTTTATGCTGCACAATACTTAGTCATATACTTGCTGTATATTTTCCAGATTTCTATTTTGAGGTTTATTCTAATGGTGATAAATAAAACTTTTGACTATAGAATTCCCAGTAGCTTCATTGACAACTCTTAGTTTCCCCAGTCATATACTGACAGGTAAATCTCAGGTGCCTGCACACAGAAACATGTGATACAAGGTATCTCACCTGTAAAACAACGACTATCCAAGTAAGTTTATTGTATCCTTGAAAAAATCCATTCTTTGACAGTTGTTCTCCATCATAAATGTATACACCCATCAGTCCAAATATGCTACCAAAAAATCCTGAAAGTACAAGATTGATTTAAAAGCTTCAGGTGAAACACACATTCTTTGTCCTCAAGGACTACTTTCAGATTAAAAAGTTTATAATTTGGTGAGTACAGTGTTTTTCTATCAGATGGGAAAGTTTTCCTAATCCCCTCAGGCACTGAAGTAATACAAGCACTTTCTCTGTGCCTGATGTAGACTCTAGTCCTGAGCAGAAAAGGGGGAATATTTTTTCCAATCCATTTTTGTGAAAATCTGACCAGTACTTTCATTGCATTTCTTTGCATCTCAAAAAGGCAGTATTGTATTGAACAAAATATGACCTTCCATGTGACAAGAAATAATTATTTTTGTAGACATAGATAAAATTTAGGTTTAATTCAGATTAAACCAATCATTCCTACTTTCTTATTGATCTGCTAAAAGAAATAAAATCCACTATTCATACAACCCTAATATGATACTGGGACATGTTAAATATTAAATGCTTAAAAAATTATTCAAATAAATTTTCCACTTTTTTCTACAGTTCTAATTCTCTACAGAAAAGAAAACAAAAACCAGGTTAGACATGTTTGTTTTTTTTGTTCGTGTTTTAAGAAAAAAATCTACTTCAAAGCTCTTGGGTATGACTGACTTGCTCCTGAATGATACAATGTCTTAAGAGGGCAACTATCTTGCACTGAAGAATGTTTTAGAATACATAATTGATTTTTAAACAATAGTGAATGTTTAACTGGAAATTGTTTCAGATATCTGCATTGTTACCTGCTGAAGCATTTCTAGCACAGAAGTTGAGAGTACTTATTATCAGCTTTCCTTGGCAACAAATTTCATGTTGTAGCTCCATTCAGAGCACCAAATCTTACCTTAAATCCTGGACCAAGCCCCAGCTACCCACCCTTTTCCGCCTCCAAAATTCCCTAAACATAACCTTTCCTGATGTATCTCCTACACCTGTTTTGAGAAAACTTAGTTTTAATATACACAATTCCAATAAAAACTGCCAGATAGCAAGTAGAGGTTTTGATCCCCTTTTTTCCTCACATTTCAAAACATTATGGACATGTAAAGGTTTTAAAATATATATTATAAAATATACGTCAGATATGCAGTTCTGCATTTATAAAAATGTATAATTAAAACACAGCAACAGGAAAGGAAAAAATAGTTTGTATTCAGATATTTTTGACCATACTAGTTTTTGACCAAGTATCTAGTTACAAAAAAAAATAAAATACACCATACCCTTTTTTTATGGTAGTTCATTACATTCTGTCAGACTCGGTACACAGCCTTGATCCCATAAATCACCCTCATGACTTAATTTTACCATACTATGGATTTGACCAAGAGTCCATACTAAGGCACTGGAAAATTCAAATTCTGCTGAAAGTATTAATTAAAATATGCAATACATATTTATTGCCTTCAAGTGAAGGCTAGAAGGATTAATTAGAGAAAGAAGGTATCTCCAACAGTAAGTTTTGTTCCTGTTGCAAAGTGGGAACAATAAGATATTGCTGATGTCATTTATTCCCAACACTTTAAACTGGACAAGACTGCTTTGAGGTGTTGGAAAACTCATTCAGGAAAATGGATCAACTCTGTTGCCATTAATATGTAGGGACTAGAAGATCCTGAACTACTTTGGAAATGGAAGATACTCTTTTACTGATAGGTAAGGGTGTTAAAATAGTTAAGATGAACTCTCTTTTGCAAATGCCTCTTCAGCAATTATACAGACAACTGAATCAAACTGACCACTGTACTGAAATATTAATAATAATTAATTAACTCAACTTTACTACCAAAGCAGGATTTTTGCATTAAAAGTGCCAATGCACTAAAAGTGCTAATTATATGCCTACTCAGACAAAAAAAAGCACTTAAATTTAAAATATCTCAAAACATGGATTCAGAAACATATTTTCTTTTAATGATTCTATGCTCTGTTTTTAAAAAAAGTTAAAAAAAGGAAAAATAAATACTACCTATATTTGTCATATCTTATGAATTAGCACAAAAGATAATTTTTAAACACAGAGGATACATGGAATCCTGCACAACATTCTTTAGAAAATTTTAAATACAAATTCAACTGACAGATTCTGTACTACCCTTACAGACACTCCATAAGCAAGTTAAATCAAGAACTAGGCTGAGATCCAAAAGCAACTCCTGGAATTCTGTCTAGCTGAATTTATACTAATTTTAAAAGTACATTTATGCAAATACTAAAAAGTTAGTGATATTTTTTATTTATATACATATTTTCAGCAGTGATCTTAATTCTTCAGAATGCAGTACCTCCAAGAGATGACTGAAATCAAACTTACCAAGCTGAATGTTTCTGATCCAAACGGACTGCTTAGTTTCCTTTAAAATTTTCTCAAAATAAACCCCAGCAAATCCACTAGAAAAGCAAGCTACCAGAACTGCAATGAGGCCTACAAGCTGAGATCCTGCTGAGTGCTCCTTGGCAGCTGATGCTTGAGAGTCTGAAGGCCACTGGTTGTAAAAACAGTTACACAAAATTTACTGATAAAATCAAGTCATGAACATCTATAAAATGAAATTTATTTTTTTCTAGCAAAAGTAACAGTTACTAAATGCAGACAATCACGTTTGTAAATGTTTTGTATTCTGCACCACAAATACTTTTAAAGGACTACAAAGCAAACTTTTTTCTTCCTGCATATTTGTAAGGAGTAAAACTGTGCATGAACTGGGAGAATATCTATCTAAAGAGGTCCAGGATTTTTATTTTATTAGCCAAAACTGTTTCTGAATTCCAGCATGACTTATCATAGTTATTCATAGTCACCAACTTTTGCCATCTGACAGTTAGTTACTGTAGATATATAAGCACAGTTAGAAAACCACTCACACCAGCTGTCTGTAAAACGGAATTCTCTTTTGCATGTGCCCCTGTTCAGGGATTATGCAGATGAATAAAGCAAGCTGAAATTTATTAAGCCAAATCCTGCAATATATCTAATACTAATCTAATGTGCCTTGAATAAATTCATTAAACAAACACAAATTACCTGTTAATATTTACCTGCACAAATGCCACTCCTGTCATCAATATTACTAATGAAAGCCACTGGTATACACCCAATTTCTTGCTCAACATGGACACAGAAAACAATGCTGTGGTAAGAATTTTCAGTTGGTATGTAACCTAGAAGAACCCAGAAACAGTTACTACTGCATAATCAACGGGATTTTTTTTAAACCTGCAGAGAAATCCAAATGTACAGTACCTGGTATGTGGCTGCGTCTAGATTTGATAATGCTACATACAGCAAGTTATTCTGAAGAGTATAAATTCCTGAAGGAACAGCAAGTTTAAGAGTTTCCATGGGTTTATTGAGGATTTCATCATGTAGCACTCTGTTCAGAGTCCGCAAATTGCACTCTACCCAAAGAAACAATACAAGAAACAAACATTCACTAAAAGCAGAAAGAAAGAAAAAAGACAGCAGTGTTCTGTTCTTAAAGATGGTTGCCCCCTTTCATAACTCTCAGTGCTATTGAGATCTCAAAATACTATCTAGCCATATTTGACTTCCATGAGCCTCATAATGTAAGAAAAAAAAATGCTGCAAAGTGCCTTCCTGTAGTCTGGAATATCAGACCAGAGTAATTATTCAAAATACTTTAAGTAAAATCTACTGAAACTGTATTAATATTTTGAAATGATACGTTAGAGAATATAACCTAAAAAGTGCATATTTAGAAGCCTTCAGAGTCATCAATATTTGCGCATATACAATGATATTTTTAAGCTGTTGAAGATCAAACATATATGTCAAGCAACCAGATAAATTCAGCATAAAATGACCAAAGTAAGAACTAGAGTAAATTTGGATATACTTTTTTGAGCTTAAACCCATGCTTTTTCCTGTAGTAATAAAACTGCTTCCTCCCTTCTGCATTTGCTGTTTATTATAGGCTTCTAAATTGTCATTCATGCTTTGGACACACTTAAAGCTTTTAATTTTTTCCTACTTCTACATATGAATTTCTTTAAATGCCTCAGCAAACAAGCTTCAAGCTGTTAGTAGAAAATTTATTCTTGCACTCCTCAGTATCCACATTATTCAAAAATAACTCTTTTTGGCAAATATACAGTATCTTCTATTGTGTGTTGAGGAGTAAAGTTTGATTAGTGTCTTTCCAAGACTTTTTCTTACATGAGAAAGGAAATGCTTTGCTGTACACCTGAACTCACATGGCTGTTTTGCAGTTGCCACTACAATACAGCATATTGATTAGGATAATTACTTGGTGGAAAATTTGACACATACTGCTGTCTTTGTAGACCAACAGAACACAGGCCAAAATCTTCAGAAGTTCAGCAATAACTACTGCAGTAGAGGATAAGTAACGGGGTCCTTCTTCTTTCAGTGTCCGAGAATAACGCATGGTCAAGACTAAACCTGTGGTCTGAAAAACCAGGATGCCCAAGGAAAGGTATTTTAAATTGGCAGACATTTCTTGACTTTTTTCTCCCTGAAACAGAAAAAAAACACAAACCCAGGCTTAAAAGGTGATGGCAGATATTTGCCTTTGGAATCAGCATATTAAAATAAGTTATTTAGGTAGTTTATCCAAAGAAAAACAACAAACCTAATCTGATATTTAAAAAGAAATAGGAGATTAACACTTTAAAAATGTTTTCTCAAATACATCATTACAACTGGGGAAGCATATCAGAATATTAGGAAAAGTTATAACTAATAGACAAATTAAATAAAGTATTTCTTACCTGTAATAATAAAAAAGTAAAATAATTACTGTTAACCAATAATTAGCTTCCCAACAACTGGTTTCACAAAAACAATCTCCCAAGATAAATGGACTTGGGACTTCTTTAAATGGGTGAAGGCTCAGAGGGTCTTTTCAAAATGAAAAAGCCCCACACTGTGGTACTGCAGAATGCCCAGTGCCCCTGCTGCAGTGCGGTATTTCCAGAATGAAGATACCTTCTAATTCTTCCACCTCCCTGAAGTTTTTCAGGGTGCAGCCTCTGCCTCACGAGATGACACAGAGCCAGCACAAGACTGTGTGAGGGTTGTGCTGCTTTAAATGAAAATGAGCAGAATGCCTGATGATGAAGGAAAAGGAGAGTTATAGGAAAGCAGAGTCAGAAGATGTGGGATGAAGGAGCTGCAGGGGAGACAGAACTAAACCTGTCCTGCTGATTTCCTCACTCAGAAAAATCAGCTGAATATAGATGACTAGGTGACCACCCTTACTTTCTCATAATGCATTGAATACCACAAACCTTACATTGTTAAAGCTGTACCATTCTCATCTCTACCACAAAATATCACCAACCTCTCACGGTTTTCTTTGCCCTTTGTCACCAATTAAAGCATTAACTTAGTAAACTAATTATACAGAAAGCAATTCTCATGTTGCAAGCACTGCATATTACAAGGAGTTAAAAAACAAGCATCACTGCTATTCAAAATACTATATAATTTTCTGCTATTCTTCATATTAGGTATGAAAGAAATTCCATGCACACAGAAACTAATGCTTTCTCTAAGATATTTACTACTGCCTTGACTGCCCACATACTCAAAAACAGAGCAGTGTTCTATAATGTCAAAGTAATTTCAAATCAGTAATTAAAAGTTTACAAACACTTTTTCAAGTAAAAGAAAAACAGTAACAAGTCACGACAATGAATGCAGTTCTCACTTTCACAAGTCTAGAGATGGCACAAGCAGCACATACTGGATGCATATACCAGAGCTGTCCCTATGCATGTTTTACATCTACAGGTACACAAGTTTTGACTGATTAACTGTCTAGTTTTGTACACACTGCTGAAGGATGTGGTGGTACCTCTAAATATTTGTAGCTGAAACTGAAGCTGTTTCTTGTTGACTGCACTTCTCTATCTCAAGACGTATTTCATAACAATTTTTGTTCCTATTTTTTAGAGATCTGGAGATCTGTGCTATTCAAGTATTTCTTACTTTCCTTTATCTTGTCTCTAAGCATTAATAGATCTTCTCCAGTTAATTATACAAAGTCAAATTTGACGAAAATGTAATTTTAAAAGTAAATCACTAATACGTTTTTTAATAGCAAGTATCAAAGCATTCAGCATGAAAACATACCAACAAGCATACAGTTTAATAAGCCCATCAGCAAAGCCATAAGGACAATACATACCACATTATCATCTTGGACTACAGTCTTATCTTCATTAGCTATCATGACAAAAAAGGGAACTTGCCACAGGCAATGTGTCTCAAAAAGGTGCCAATAGCAGAAAACATTTATTTAGCATAATGCACTAATGCAGTTTCAGACTTTGCAAAATTCAACAAAACAGAGTTTAAGTTTCTACTGTGATAGTTGAAATAAGGATATTTTATAAAAGTTATCCTGTCAGTGGTCAGCAAGACATGATTGTAGAGAACAAGTGTGTGAAGTTTCATGCTGTACTTAGAAGTAGTTTTTTCACAGAGCAGGATCTACAGAGTCCTGAAGCTTACATATCCCAATAAAACAGTCATGCTCTGCTGAGCACAGAGTTTTTTATCAGCTCTTCTGGTCCCTCCTCCTTTATTTTAAAAGAGCTGCAGATCAATTAATAGAACTCAGTGCAAACTGGGGACTGGATCAAAAAAAGGAGCCAAGTACTGAAGTTCAAACAGCTGAACTGTCTTCAACTGCAGTTCCACAGCAGGTTTAGATTTACAGATTACTACCAGAGGTGTAATCACTCTCTGCTAGCCATGAGTCCCTGCTACCCTCACTGCAACAGACTGTGCAACCATACAAATGAACTATTGTTTTCATTAACAGCGTACTGTTTGATTGCCTTAAACCAATAACGAAATGGAAGTTCCCCTGCATTTCCTGTAGAGAGTGACAATCAGGCTTAGATTTCTTACCAGGCTTGGGCAGTCTACTCAGTACTTCGCAGGATGCACCTGTTCCAAAATCAGATTTAGGTTTGGTAATTCAAAGACTGGAAGTTGAGTAGTCAAAGTAACTCAGTTACTTTTGAACTGCAACTTACAGTGAGAGATGGTTAGTGCCTGCACCTTGTTGACTGTAATGTACTGTGTCACATCTGCAAACTCAGTGACCAGGCTCATTATTCTTCTATTAGCTTAGGTAAAAAAGTAAACTGCTTCTGCATAGTTTATTCAGTGTACCATGTAGACACACCCTAGAGCCAGCAATAGGGGAAAGCAGGGGAAGAGGCTAAAGGCAGGTCTTTATGGGAAGTCAACATGTGGTAAGCCAAGATGGTATTTACAGCCATTTAATATTTGACTTCAGCAGACACAGGTGGACAAAACGCAGAGAGATACTATGAGAAGAGTTGTTCTCCTGAAAAGTATTAAGGAAAAGGACCCTGGAAAGGTTTTACAGATGCAGAAAAGAATCTGTATAGGAAGTAATACCTTCAGTTCAAAGTATCATACTATGCAAAGTCCAAAAAAATACCTGTTCAGTGGAATATCACATATTTCAATTTCGTAATATTAGTTCAGACAAAGCAAATACATTCCTGACTTGCAGATTTTAATCTCCTTTAGTAATTTCTCCACCACAGGCTAAAATTTCGTATTCTACATCTTATTTTTATATCATCCCTATGCTTTGCCTCCCAACATACTGGTAAATTCTAATGTTTGCAGATGAAATACATTAGGCCAAAAGGAACATAATCAATATGACTTAATGAACAGTAAACATACCATATATTATTTATTTTCCTCTATCCATTCTTAAAAAAACTCACTAATATTAATCAGGATTTGATGACATGAGCAACGAGAAGAAGATTACAGGACTTTTCTTAACCTTAAGATTTTGTCTTTTAAAGACCTGCTGGTATAAACTTTTGAGCTTCTCAGCTGCCAAATATCTACAATAACAGAATATTGTGCAAAATTAAGGATTAGTTTATGTATTTATCCTGTTCTTGTTTCATCAGAGATCACAAAATCTGACAGAACTTAGAGCTAACACACTAAAAAAGGGAAATCTAGAAGGAAATTAAGTATTTAAAATACTCATTCGCTAAAATCATAGACTGAAGACTGAGACATTTTCCAAAGATGGCTGGCATGATACTGCATATTATGGAGATCCTTCCAGCAAGCATGGCCTAACACCATCTGCAAGAACAAAAGAGCAAGGGCAACTCCACAGATCCAGACACTCAAAAAAATTCACACCATGCTGATACAAATTATCACTGGCAACTATTTATTTACTCCTCCCAATTCTGTCACTAGGAAAGTTACATTTAAAATATATATATATAAATTACTAGCTACCATTATCCTTCCAGTTTTCACAGTGATGACATATATGAATTACATTCCTTCCAGCATAGCTGTGAAATGTTTTCATTGCTGATCGTCTTTCAGATTAAAAAGCCAAGTTACAGGAATTATTGTTATCTTTTACTTGTTTTTATGATTAAGTTGAGGACTGCTAAACCAAATAAAAGGCTCTTGCACATTAGTTAGGGAACAAAGCCAAACAGAAGCAGACAACCAGCCTCTTGAAACTGCAAAAGACAAAGTTTAAGTTTTGTGTGCCAGTACACCAAGTTCTATATCTGGGTTCTGCCAGAAAATAAACACTGATTGAGTCTGCCTTACAGAAGGAAAAAGAGAGTGTAAAGTACACTATTTAATTCCAGTGGAACAGGTATGGACACACTTCCTGGACATTTGCTTAGAAATTTAGACAGCAGATTAAAGAAACAGGATCATGTTGTCATATTGCTCAAATTAAATTAGTCCAGTGCTGATGCTGCACCTATACAAATATAATAAGCTGGCAACAAAGAGGAAAAGCACAATTGGAAGGTGGAGCAAGGGCTAGCTCACAGAACGTGAACAACCTATTTTTGTAGGACTTCCTTTTACGCTTTCATGAATGCATTGCCCTTTTCCCTGTGCTGGGTAATGCTTAAGTAACATGCTACTTTCTATAACTCAAAAGACATACCTCAGAGGAAAATTCTGTTCTATACATCTTCTTTCTATTGGACTCAGTAGTGCTGCCTTTTCACTGAAAGTTGTATCTAATAAAACAAGTAGTTTATGTATAGAAATAATGGATGGAAGGAGCCTCAGGAGGTTCAACAAGGCCAAGTGGAAGGTCCTGGACATGGACCAGGACAATCCCCAACAATACAGGCAGAAGGATGAATGGATTGAGAACAGCCCTGCAGAGAACAACTTGTGGGTATTGGTGGATGAAAAATTGGACAGCAGTTGGCAATGAGTGTTTGTGGCCCAGAAAGCAACCGTGTGCTGGCCTGCACCAAAAGAAGCATGGCCAGCAGGTCGAGGAGGGTGATTTTCCCCCTCTGCTCTCATAAGATCCCGTCTGGAATACTGTGTCCAGCTCTGGAGTCCTCAGTACAGGAATGACATGGACCTGTTAAAGTGGATCCTGAGTCCTGAGGAGGGCCACAGAAATGATGAGAGGGCTGGAACACCCCTCCTATGAAGGGAGACTGAGAGAATTGGGGTTGTTCAGACTGAAGAAAAGGCTCTGGGGAAACCTCATTGTGGCCTTTCAATCTATAAGTGTTTTTTAAGAAAGACAGAGACTTTTTACCAGGACTTGAAGAGTCAGGACAAGGGGGAACATTTTTTAACTGAAAGAAGGCAGATTTCAACTGGATGTAAAGAATAAATTAGTATGATAAGGGTAGCAAGACACTGGAACAGATTGCCCAGATAAGTTGTAGAAGATCTGTCATTGTAAATGTTCAAGGCCAGGCTGGATGGGGCTTTGAGCCACGTGATGTAATGAAAGACGTCCCAGCCCATGGCATGGGGTTGGAACTAGATGAGCTGCAAAGGCCGCTTCAAACCCAAACCATTCTGTGATTCTATGAGAAATATCCCGGATGGTAACTGAGGGTGCACAGACCTTTCTAAATTTCTAAAGTGCCACTGAACTGGGTTATAAACAAGATTTAACATACATATGAATACTTTAACTGCCAAATTTGGACTATAATTTAAAAATGCAGGTATTTCTCTCCCCATCCCCTCAAATATGTAACCTTTCATGTCTGTGTTGTGTTTTTTTTAAATAAACTATAATGTTAGAAACATTTCTAATAATCTTAAGCCCTGTATTTCTCACTTTAAAATGTCACTATTGTTCTCTACCTTCCTCATCCCTGAAACAGTTTTCTTCTCTGTCCCCTCCCATAAGCCATATATAATTATCAGCTGTTCCTCTCAACATGACACTTTTCAACTAAACCATTAAAAATCACTTCATTTTTTAAAACTTACCTTGCTCTTTCTTGTGTTTTTCAGTTTATTACTCATCTTCTTGTTGGGTATGTTGTAATGTGTATTAAGTACAGCAAGTATGAAAAAAAATAAGCTGTATTTTTCTCAGAGCTTGTATTCTTCTTCAGAAGTTCTATTAAAAGTGAATCCTCTAGCAAAGCTTTTTTTCTTACTCTTCTAGCAGAACACCAATTAGTAGTAGTAAAAGTAACTAAGATTTTTTTTTTGAATGAAGGCTTCCTTCAGGCAGTATTTCCAATTTCTCCACTTACACTGAAAAAATTCTTAAGTGGTGAAAAAAATTAAGACGAGGATATCAAGCACAACACAGTAGAACACTGGTGGACCTTGCTCCTGTAACGTCATCTAGCTTTCCAACCAGAACATTTTTAAATGAATGCAGATACTCCTTAGTTAGCACTAGTAAGTGCACTTAGGCACACTGCAGTTACATACTCACTTTTATCTGCTAAAGATCAACCAATGATTTATTCTCAACTTTGCTCCAAAAACCTAGGCTTTTACCAAAGATAGTAGTGGCTTTGTCAGCGATTCACTGAACTGAGCAGTCAGTTCACTGACCTGAACTGATTCAACCCGAGATTCCACCATTGCCGTGTCTAACAAAGGAGTGTAATTACATATTAACTAACATCTAACTTCAGCAAGGCTATAAATTGCCTGGAACTCAGGTTAGGTTTTCTTACAGATTGACAGCCTCGCGGAAAGGAAAACTTAACACTGCTGAGTTTTTTTATGAACTCATAAAGGGTTTTTTTGGTTTGCTGGTTTGTTTTTCTTTCAAGGGGAAAACAATCACCATTCTAATCTATGTACCAGTTGGGCATTGTAAATCTTAAATGTGAAATTTGTAGCTAACTACTTTTCAAGCCCACTCCATACCCTTTATACTTTACACCAAACCTAAGAATCCAAAAATTAGATTTGTTTGACTGATGAGAATTTCGTTTGGTGAATATTAAAGAAATCACATATTGAGCACAGTTATTCAGCGTTCAGGAAATTCAGGCCCTCATTGAGCTAAATCTAACACAAATATTTCTTGTAAGATGAAGTCTTCCACTATGTGCACAGTAGTGCAATAGTTTTATATTGACATAACAGTCATTAAGCCAAACTTTGCCTGCCAGCACAGAAATTTGATACAACCTGCCTTAACAGCCTCTTTTTCAAACAGTACATACACTGCATTCATTGTACAGATCACAGTACAGAAAGAACCTAGTAGTCACATTCAGGTTCCGTGAGCAGAGAGGCATTCAGTTCTCAGTTTTAATTCAAATGCCCATCCCTCCTCAGGCATACAGAAGTGCCATGCCATGAACCAAAGCACTGCTCAAATGCAAGTCCTGCTAATGTATCAAACCAATTAAGGAGCTTGATTTAAGGTGCTGAAAGACTGAGCATTGAAACCAGCTTGGGCTTCAGCTACAGCTTACATTTACTGTATTTAAGGATTATTGAGTCTGGGTGCTCGAGGCAATGCAGCCACCCTAAGTCAAGGTGACCTAGTTTGAGTAGAATAACACAAAGTAGATACTACAGTGAAAATAAACCTGCAGACACTCATCATGCTCATCATTAAAACCAGATAACTGAACAGTGTATTGAAGGGATATGAATATAAGACAAAAACATTCAAAAATTCAATGGGAATATCCTGAACTCCTGACCATTTTACATTATTATGCTAGATTGTAAAAGGTACAGAACTTGAGAATCTCTCCTCCCTCTCAAGACACCCTCTATTGATGTGACCCAGTTGTGCAGCCTCCTGAGTTTCAATGAAGGCACTGAGTCTGTGCTAGCAGCATGCACATGGGTATGAACTGAAGTAACTGGGGAAGAATAAGCCCAGGTGGCAAGCAATTCCAGAGTAGTAAGAGAGGAATAACTCTATCTAGCAAGCCTGTCTCAAAGATCAAGAACATGTTGCCCTCACTTAACACTGCCAAATCTGGAACTGTTTTAAGCAGACAAAAGTGATTTGCTCTCCCTAGACACCTGGCTCAGATGATCCCTCCCTGTTTCTTGTTATTGTAAATAGCAGCATAACTAGCGTAAGGAATTAGGCTGTGTAGGCAGCCTGTAAAATTGCTAAAGACACAGAGTCATGACTAACAATACCTTACTCTAAATAAAGCAAATTTATACTTATTACCACCATAGCCTTTCCCAAACCCAGTATTTTCACTACACAGTCTACTTCCACAAACCAGAACACACAACCCAAAACAATGGATCCTTATCTCCCAGATGGTAATTTTCAATTACAGGTTTTCACAATGCTTATAACAAGGTACAAGTGAACCATGAGCTACAGTTGCTCAAAGAAGGGGCTACTGTTCCCAAACACTGGACACTTAAGAGTCAGCTGGAGAGGGTGCTGGGCCACCTTGTCTAGACTATACTTTTGCCAGGGAAGACTAGATCAGATGATCCTCAAGGCCTGCTATTCTATGACTGTAAATCAATTTATTCACAATCATCACCTCCCTCAAGATCACCCTGCAGCCTTTAAACCCACATATGTTGGCAGAAGCAGTCTGTCACCTAATGTTCATTCTAAATGACATTTTGTCAGTTTGCACATACGTTCTTTGAAAAGCTAGGGACACCTAGGGTATCCAAGTTTTCTCACTCTGATTTAAAATTCAGTTTGTAGTGTTCAATGAAATGAAACAACTTAGAGTAACTTTTGGTGTTTATTTTTAACCTTCCAGTCTATTCCATAATATGTATTATCTTACTATGTTCATTATAACCTTCTGGCTTTCTGACTTAACCCATAAGCTTCACACTGCTACAGCATTTCTCATTTCAAAAGCCCAGCATGGAATTGTGATGTCAAGAAAATACGTATAGAATGTGCATTTCTGTTAACTTCCCATACAGCACCACACCAAGCACAGTGAGCACCTTCTCAGCACAGAGCCAGCCTCGCTGCACCCGAAGAAGCCCAGCAAGTGAGGCACAGCCCCAGCAACCACACACCTGCCCGCCAGATCCGCGCCCCTTCCCAACTTCGCTGCTTCCCCACAGAACTTCACCTTCACCCCTCCCTCCATCCCCAAACCACTCCCGCTAACAGACATTTCCCCCGGGTTCTCCCCAGTCCCACTCTTCCCCTCCCAGGCGGCTCCCACAGACCTGCCCCCCGCCCTCGCCCCCCCACACGCAGGGCTCGCTCAGGCTCCTTCCCGCAGCCACCCGGGGCCGGGGCAGCCCCAGCCCGGGCCTCCCACCTGCAGCGCGGCGGGCGGCCCAGCTCGGCCCTCG